CATTCTTACACCCTTCGCATCCCTTCGCATTAATCACCTTCGCATTTTCATTCTTACACCCTTCGCATCCCTTCGCATTAATCACCTTCGCATTTTCATTCTTACACCCTTCGCATCCCTTCGCATTTATCACCTTCGCATTTTAACCTAATTAATCAAATGCGATTCACAAAATTTTTCATTCCAGATGCGAACACAGTTTTAGTTCTTGAACTCTAAACTTGCGAAATCAAAATTTTCATATGTTGAACCCATATGCGAATATTAACCCAATTGACTTCAAATTGATTCATAGATGCGAACACTCGATTGTTTTACTTTCGCAAAATGAGCATCAACAACTCCACAATCGAGTTTTTAAATTCTTGCAACCAACAATTTCATAGTCCTTGACTTCGCGTTTTTCTTCACGAATCATCCCTCAATCATCAATCCAAATGCGAATCAAAAACTCATATGTTCTTGCTTTATCGATTCATCGACTACACTCATACAAATGCGAACATAACACTAACCCTAATACACAAGGTTTAATAGAGTTGACCGGCTTGACTTGATGACTTGACTTGACTCAAGATTGACGATTGTCACAAATTGACCCGAATATGACGGTTGTCACACTATTCCCCCATTAAAGTGTATAAAATGCATTTATAAAACATTTAAAAGTATAGTTATAGGGGTATGAACTCACATGATTGATGGGAGAAAGCGAGATGATAATTGAGCAAAACTTCGACTTGGAAGAGTTGATTTTCTTGGGAATCTCGGTAGTGTAGAACCTTCCTTCGGAACTTGAGTGTGACAACCAGGGCTTCGGGATGGCTTTTCAGGGTAATTACGCAGAGTAAGAACACTTAGATGGAAAGAGATGAGCCCTAAACCCGGCACCCTTAAACTTCTATTTATACGGGAATTTCTTGTTTGTCACGTCGTGGCCATCTGTGCCACGTCGTGGTGAGCAAAATCTTATCCTCTTCCTTTGATGGGACGCCCTCAGTCACTTGCCGGGTCGCGGCCAACTGTGCCACGTCGTGGTAGACCTGACAGCCTCGGATTTTGAGCCTTAAACTTGTAAAATCCGTAACTTTTGCGTACAAGCTCCGTTTTCAACGTTATTTATATGCACGCGTAGGTGAGAATATACTCTACAACTCTCGTTTAGACTTCGTCGGGTAACTTTGGATTTATTTTTAATTATTTATTTTTAACAGGCCAGTACTGGAAAAACCCGTTAAAAATCCATAACTTCTTCATCTGATGTCCGTTTTCGTCAGAGTTTTCACCATTGGACTACTATTCTTGATGTCTTTGTGTAACACTCAATTTTTCAAACAAAATTTTCGATTTTATAAAAACATAGTTCCATCAATATTCATAAAAACAACCCCTTTTAAATTGTTCAACAATACATTGCAAAATCCCAAGATCAAAATGTCAAGCTCCAAACGTGTGTGTACGGATCAAGCCGGCGCCTTCCCACGGTCGTCACTAGTACCTGAAACAATAACATCAACACTGTAAGCACAAGGCTTAGTGAGTTTCCCAAAATACTACATGTAACACATATTAGCCACTCGAGGCTATAACTCTGTGGGTCCGTGCACCCAACTCTGTGAACCCTCAGGTTCTAACTCTGTGAACCTTCCGGTTCTAGCTCTGTAAACATGCACAGCATCAAACACATAAAAGTAATGCAGTACAACACATAACATACATCGCATACAAATATTCTATCACATAACTCTGGTTACCTACTCAAGGTAAAGTATAATGAGAAGACTCACCTCGTGTGTCTCGGTAAACCGTAACCCTGAAATTGCTAAACACTCGATCTGCCGAGCTGAAGTCCCCCCTATAGCACAATATATCTCTAATTAACACTTTCCCAACTAGGGTTAACCATACCATAACAGGACAATCTAGGTCAACGCTGGTCAACGGTCAACTTGACCGGACTCGGCGAGTGCACTATAGCGACTCGGCGAGTCTGAGCGAAATCACCAATTTCCCTGAAACTCTCTCTTGACACGTCGAGCATCCCTTCCCAACTCGACGAGCTCCACCTGGCACGAGTTGTGGGGCCACCACGACTCAACTCGCCGAGTTTCCAGAACGACTCGGCGAGTTCGGTTTGACTCGGTCCACCTGTCCATCCTGACTCCCCCCTTGACCCACTGGGTTCACTCACCCCAACTCGGCGAGGCCACTCGCTGAGTGGTCGTGTAACATTCAAGCTACTCGCCGAGTCTGTTCTTCGGACTCGGCGAGTCCATGCCATGCACTAACTCAATCTTGCTCTAAAGGCCAGATCCAGTCCACTAATCCATAGATCCAGTCCCCCCATGCTTACTTAGCACGTAAAGTCCCAGTCTTGATGCATGAATAACCTCTACATGATCACAAATGATGATTTTGACTCTATTACTTCAACACAAGGCCAATGACTCCATTTTACCCATAAAGCTTGATGAGTGAGGCCCCCTGGACCTCTATGGATCCAGATCCATGGTCTCAACTCAAAGAGGGAACAAAAAGGGCACCAAATCACCCCATAAATGATCATATTTAACCCTAACTTGCATCAAGTTCACCAAATAGGAAATGGTCCGAAATATTACCTCTAAAGTGATGATCCGAGCTCCAAATCCACGAAATGGCAACCTCCTTTGCCTCCTTTTGCCTAGAGCCTCCTTCTTCTTGCTAAACAACACTCACAAGGTCAAGATTTGCTCTCAGTCCTTCACCAAACGCTCAAGAACTCTAGGGACACACTCTGGGGGTTGGATGAGCGCAAATGACGGCCATAAGGCCCCTTAAATAGGCCACAAACCCGGGGATTTAGGGTTTCTTAACACAGCGCAGACTCGCCGAGTCCATGCCCTGGACTCGCCGAGTCCAAGCGCGCACCTTCGCTCAAACCCGCGTCCCTACTCGGCGAGTCTGAGCCCTGACTCGCCGAGTCCCTCTTACAAAACAACACAATTAAACTTACATTATACCTGGTAAAAATCCGGATGTTACACTTTGATTCTTATTGAGGTTGTATCGGCCAAAAATCTCTTTATCTCTATTTCGAGTTTTTAGCTGTTTACTGTTATATCCAGATCTTGGAAAAATCATAACTTCCTAATACGAAGTCAGGTTTGGACGTTCTTTTTACGTACGTTTACGGTTTAATGATATCTACAACTTTCATTTAGACACTTAAAGCTAAAAACAATTACATCGAAACTTCGCGTTTTTACGTCTATCCGTGTTGCTGGTTTTGTTGAGAATCTTAAAATGGTTATAACTTCTTCGTTATAACTCGGATTTTAGTGTTCTTTATATGTATGAAAACCTTGATACGATTCCTACCACTTTATTTAACCCAAATAAGATTTTAGGTAAGTTAAAATTTGACCTAAATTTGACTGGTGTTACATTACATTATCTCGAAATATCGGGTTGTCACAAAAATCAACTTTATTCTCCAAAGCTAATGATGATCTTGGATTTAGCCAATATTTTTCAACATTCTTGATGGCATCATCCATCATTCCTTCATAATTGCATTCATGCCAGAGTGCCTTCAGTGTAAGTTCAGTTGCTGCCTTCTCCCTTTTCCCCGCTTCGTTCTGATCCATTTAAATTAGTAAATGTTTCAACCTTTCAAACTCCTCACCATTCTTCCTTTTTGCTTCATCATAATTAGGATTAATTTCTGGTTAACTAACAATCTTCATAGTACCATAACCTGAAGCTTTTGTGTGGCCCCTGGAAATGGAGTCTAGGTTGGTCTATATACTCCTTAAAGTTGGGCCCGTTATATAGACTTGGTTGTTCGGTGCTAGGTCCGAGGATTTTGCTTGTATGCATTGTATGTATGGTGGAATATGTGGTATACCGAAGAACTCACTAAACTTTATGTTACACTTGTGGATTAATATATTTTGCAGGTTGTTCATGTAAAGGCCATGACAGGATTATACACATGTATCGAAGATTATGGTTTTCCCCTGTTTTGTGAATTCAACTTTGATAACTCTATGGTTTCAATTCAAATGAAGGTCACTTATTGATTTATGTAAGGGAATTAATTGGTTAAACATATTTTAAATGAAAATTTTATTATGAAATTTAGGAACATTACAAAATTGGTGAAAAATGGAGGTGTGGGTTTTTGCAGGTGGACAACGATGTGATGGGAGATGGTATTAGATGTGGCTAGCAAGGGATGGGAAGGGTGGTTGTTGGTGGTGATTTGAAAAAGGTTATGGTGGTGGATCGTTAATGATGAATGTGTTTCCTGGTAGTGATTCGAAGTTGTGGTGAGCCGTGGATGGTGGTGATCAGATTATCGTTGGAGGTTGTCTTAGTTGTGGTGACGATGGAGGTTTGGTGACAATGATGTCAACGGATGTCCGGTTGTGACCACATTGACAGATGGTGGTGAGAGGTAAGATGGACGATGTTTACCGGTGAAGAAAAGGGAGTGGGGCGATGGTTTAATTTCTTTCTTTTTTAAATTAAATAAATTATAATCAAATAAAAAGAAAAATAGAAAATAGAAAATAAAAAGAGTAAATAAATCATTTCATATGCCTAAGGGACCAACCTCCATAAAAATTAAAACCATATAAGACCTTTCATAACACAAAAAAAATTAGTTAATATTTCTAAATCCACATAAACCATTTTTGAAGATTTATAATGTTCGCATAAAATTTACATTAAATAGGTTGAAATAACCATTCAATTATTTTTTTAATTACTAAAAAAAGAACTCTAAATTTAACCGGAGGACGATTAGGGTTACAGTCTACGATGAGCACACATTCTCTCTAAAATGTGGAACCCCAAGAAATCCCAAGAAAGAGATGCAGATGATTCGTCTTCAATCAATCATTTACCAGATGAAATTATCCTCCAAACATTAAACAAAATAATCGATTTGAAAATCCTATGTTTTTGCTATCTGGTTTCCAAACGTTTCTCCTCGATTGTACTTCAAGTCGATGTCGTTTCCTTCACCGCTCCTTTCAAAGACCCTAACATTCCCAATAAGAACCCCGTTTCCTCCTAAGCTACCCGCCAATGGCTTTTTGAGCAAATTTACAGGAGTGAAGTCTTTATACATCGAACTTCCGTTTTCCGATCACAGAGTTGTCCAGAATCGTTGTCTGTTCAAGTGGAGGGTTAAGTTTGGTAGCAGAGTACAGTCGTTTGTATTTCTATCCCCGAATTATGTTTGTGATAATGATGGAATATATCAAATTGGAAAGGTGGATGAAGAAAACGAGTTAATCAGTATCGCACAGCGTATCAATAAAAAACGTGACATTTCGTATCGGTGTCTGAATGATGTGATTGCGTGGCATGTGATGTTGATGAACATTGTTAAGGATCTACCAATGTTGGAAGAGGTTTCCATTACTGATTCAGGGAGAAGAGGGAGGCTTTCTCTGAGTGGGGAAAAACTCATTGAGGTGAAGGAATGGGTACATTCAGCTTCGGAAGCTGAGATCAATAGTCGAAAGGGTTCTTTTATCGGGACTGAAACTTGCATTCCCGTTTTGAAGTTGCCAGTTTCAGGGTATGTGATGAAGGGTATATTTTGTGCTCTATTTGAGAGGGAAGATATCCATGGTGGAAATGATTTTGTTATGAACAGTGAATATGGTTTTGAAGATAAAGAAGAAGCTGCATATACTGAAGCTGCGAAGGATGTTTTGGAGAAGGAGATTATGCAGACGGAAATGCTTAATGCTATAGGCCTTTAGTATGGATGAGGTCTGTACTCTCATTCTCATAATACTCTTAGGCCGGAGGGAGTGGTGCCACCGAAACCGCACTCCCTCCCCCGCCACATCAGCACGATGTCACTTTTTACCGTTTGTTGTCACACCAAGGATGTGATGCCACACTTTTCATTTCTTTTATTTTTTTGTTTTTTTTAAGTATTTTAATTTAATAAAACTTCTTTTTTTTTTAACTAATTTAATTTAATATACCTTCTATTTTAATAAAAAAAACATAATTCTTCATTACTTGAAAAAAAAAAAAAAAACTGTACATTGCGTTACAAAAAAAAAAGACATTTAAATAACCCTAGAAAACTTAAAAAACATAAATAAAATAACTAAAGGAAACTACATAAAGTCGTTCTTCGAGAACTCATCTTCGGGGTCATCCGGTGGATCCAAATTAAGGTTAATGTTTTGAACCCCGTAAATTTGTTCCACCAAGTCATTGCGAAGATTGTGAAATGTTTCAGTACAACGTATCTCTGCTCTCCTGTTTATATACTCTTCGCCACCAATTTCTATTGGCTGTGTCTCTGGTATGATTTCTTCTTCGTCAAACGCACATATCGCTCTTCCTTCATCTTCAATAATCATGTTATGCAATATAATACATGTATACATGATTTCTTGAAGTTTTTCCTCGCCCAAATAAGCTGCTGGTTTTTTCAATATGAACCACCGTTTCTTCAGAGCTCCAAAAGCACGCTCAACATCCTTCCTAGCTCTTTCTTGAGCTCTCTTGAATTTCTTTCGTCTAGAACCATGTGGAGCTGAAAACGATTTAACAAACACATCATACTCAGGATAGATTCCATCAACCAGATAATAACCATACTTATATGGCGTTCCATGCACTTGAAAAGAAGAATCTGGTGCGGATCCATCGTATATGTTGTTAAATATTGGTGAATGGTTAAGAACGTTGATGTCGTTAACCGAACCAGGAGAACCAAAAAAAGCATGCCAAATCCACATATCTTGTGATGCAACTGCTTCAAGTATTACCGTTGGGTGACCATGATCACCTCGGGTAAATTGCCCATGATATGTTGTAGGACAATTTTCCCATGCCCAATGGAGACAATCTAAGCTTCCTAGCATTCCAGGAAACTCATGCACACTAGCATGATGAGCTTGCAATTGCATGATGTCATTACGTGTAGGCTTACGTAAATATTTTGGACCATAAAACTGAATCACAGTTTTGCAGAAAAAATGGAGACTGTCTCGTGCTATCCTAGCAGACATCCTAAAACTTTCGTCTAACGCATCAGGCGGAATGCCATATGCTAACTGATGAAGTGTGGCCATGCATTTTTTAAGGGAGTGAAACCGAGTGTACCTCTAGCATCGTAGTGTTGTTGGAAAAAACTGCACTCCCTCGTTACATCTTCAACTATACGTTCGAATAAACCTTTGAGCATTCTGAAGCGCCTACAAAAATAATACCCTTTGGTAAGTGGCATTCTCTGCAAAATAGTCTTGTACCAAACGTTGGTTGGCTTCTTCACGATTTCTGTAAATGTATCTTCGTGTTCTCTGTTGAGAACTTGCAGCCGCGTTGTTACATACAACGTTGTATGTTTGTTCCGCCATTTGAACACACGCAATAGCGGTATCAAAAATAGTCTGAAATTCTTCAGAAGATGAAGAAGATGACATTTTTGGGAGAGTAGTGATTTAAAAAAAAAAAAAAAATTTGAGAGATAGAGAAGATTGTGTTGTGAATAAAAAAGTTAAGTTGATATGTGTATATATAGGAAAGAAAAAGCAAAAAAAAATAATAATTAAATAAATAAAGAAAAAAAATAAACGAATCTTCAATTTCAACGGTCAAAAAAGTGACCAGCCAATCAGAAAACGCGGTCTTGAGGGGCCGCACCGCGGTTTAGACCGCAGTAAACCGCACCCTGTGGGCGGTGTTCCATGCTGAGTTGGCAGGCAAACGCGGTCTCAGACCGCACCACACCGAGGAGCCTTATAAGTTTTATCTTTTTATCTATTAAACATTTCCATTAACATCTATAGTTGTTCTTGAAGTAACAAATCAATTACGTTGCATATAAAGACTCTTATCCTTTTCAAATTGCAACTGAATATCTATCAAGTTAGAACTTGTTCTTATGATCAATTTAATATTTACACTCAGGTCTTTTGGATGCAGAGAACCTGCTCATTGGTTCTTTAATCGTATGAAATGAAGTTGATATTCTTTTTTTTTAAGATTACATAGAATTGATACATTGGTCTTTATATAATTTAGACAAAACTTCAAAAATGGTCCCTGTGGTTTCCAGAAATATCAAGTTTAGTCCCTAAGTTCAAAAAACCTCACAGATGGTCCCTGTGGTTTCAAAACTTTTAACAAATGGTCCCTCCGGCTCACTCCGTTAGCATTTCACCGTTAACTCATTTTTTAATAAAATATTGCAGGGGTAATTTCGTCATTTCAGTTGTAACCTCCTCTCTTTAATATGAAATGATTACTTGCTTGCACATCACTACCCGTCCCTCTCCCAAGAAGATAACCAGTTACAGGTTTAGTCATCGGGTTCATTCCCATCGTAGAAGCAAGAACAGAAATTGGGATTTAGGGTTTTAAGCTGCAGAAATTGCAATGGTGCTATCAATATGGTGTTTTCGAGAAAAATTTGTAACCGTGGAGGACTTAGGAAAAACATACGGTACAATACTACAACAAAACTTGTTTTTTCTTGGTCTATTGTGTTGACGTAAGGAAATCATTGATTTTACTCTTTCTTTTTTTTGTGTTTACAGAAGGTTATGAGAACTATTTCACGTTGAAGATACACTACAGTGGTGTCTTCACCAAAGCACCTGGAAGGAAATACGTTGATGGTGTTGTAGCATATGTAGATTATGTTGACACTGATTTATTTTCAGTTCATGAGCTTGACGACATGGTTCGAGAACTAGGGTACAAAACTGAGCAAACCCTTTACTACCATTTCTGTATCCCTGAATACCCTTTGGACTATGGCTTAATGCCTTTAGGTAATGATCAAGATGTACTTAAAATGGTATCATATGTCCCTAAACACAGACTTATTAGGGTGTATATTGAAACTGGTCAGACAAGGGTAGGTAGTTATTACAAGTCTCCTTCTAAAGTTGTTATTGAAGAGTTGGAGCCTGATAGTGTGTCACCTGAAATGAATAGAAAGAAACCTTGTAGGAGAGAAGCAGGCTCATGTAGTAGAAAGCTTGATCTAAACAAGTCTATGAACCCTGATTATGAGCAGTCACAAGTGTTAGATGTTGATGAAGGCCATGATTACTCAAAGAGTATTGTACCATTTATAAGGTCACAAGGTAAACAAAGTCATGTCATTCAAAAGGAAGTGGTGAATCATGAAATTGAAACTCAAGAAGAAGTGATCACTAGTGCAGTTGAAACTGAAGAACAATTGGGAACTTACCATGTACAGGAACCAAGCTGCCAAGCTGATAATGGAGCTAATACTACAACAGTTGATGACTATGAACCATTTGTAGAGGATTACTCACTTTATGCTGATTATGATGCTGAGTTTAATGTTCAAACTTCATTTGAAAAACAACCAGAAGTGGATTATCTAGAGGGTATGGTGAGTGATGATAGTGGAGATGCTTTCTACTCTGAGAGTGGCCATGGTTCTGAGGATAGTGGAGATGATTCTGATGACAGTGAATACAATGTGGATGAGTCTAACATACAATTTGATGTAGATGTAGACATGAGTGAATTCCATAATGCTGTTGATGTAGATGAACATGGAATCTTGAACAATCATTCAAAAGATGATGGGATTGGAGTGGTTGACTTTGATAATGAGTTGGAAGTTATTGCCACTGATGATTATCAATTTGCAGGATTTCATGAAGATGATAGGAAGAGACTGCTAAAAGAGTTGAGTAAGTCAAGTACATGCTCACATGGAGAGGTTCATGTTAAACCATTTCAGATTGGTCAGGTCTTCAAAACCAAGGTTGATGTTAAAAACTACATGAACTCACATGCTGTAGCAACAAGGAGGTCTTTATACCTAGCCAAAAATGACAAAATCCGGATTAGGGTGAAATGTAAAGGTGTTGTAAGTAAGCCTTCTACAGGAGTTGATAGTGGTGGGCCCTCAACCAGAAGTAGGGCAAAGTGCAAGGGTAAAGATGTAATTGCCAATAAAGGTACATGTCCATGGGCAGTCCAAATATCGAGGGCTAATGAAAATCAGGATTGGTTGGTGAAAACAGTACAGGATGAGCATAAATGTTTGCAAACAAGGGCGGTTAAAGCTTGCACTTCCAGATACGTAGCAAACTTAATTGTTCAACAAATACAGAGTAACCCTAAAATTCCAGTGAAAGCTTTACACGAAGAGTTGTGCAAGAAACTGGAGGTAGGAATGTCATTGCAAAAGGTCGCTAGGGCAAAGTCAATGGCTGAGCGTATCATTAGTGGGGACTACCAAGTACAGTATGGATTTTTGAGGGATTATGTGTTGGAGCTACTCAACACTAATCCTGGTACAACAGTTAGGATTGATGTGTATCCAGAAACCTCCCTGTCTGTTACCACAAGAACTTTTAGAAGAATATATGTCTGTTTAGGTGCATTGAAGTTAGGATTCAAATCTGGATTAAGAGATTTTCTAGGTCTGGATGGTACTTTCATGAAGGGCCCTTACCCTGGGCAAGTGTTAACTGCTGTAGGGTTGGACTCAAACAATGGCATATACCCTGTAGCATATGCAGTGGTAGAGACAGAATCAACAAGTAGCTGGACCTGGTTCTTGGAACTGTTAGGAGAAGATCTGGATCTGGGACCAAATTCAAACTTTACCTTCATTTCAGATAGACAAAAGGTGTGTACCACCTAACTTTTTTATTACCTTTACTAAATACATTTGGTTAACTAATGTTGATTACATTGACTTTTGTTTAGGGAATAATACCAGCAATGGAGAAAGTATTCCCTA